GTAGTGTGTACATAAATTGTGATTAAAGAACATATTGTGAGGTAAATTAGGAATAAAACGAAAGGAGAACAGAGCTTAAAACGGATTTTGGTTTAGGAGACAACTACGGTTCTCTAGCATACAGCGCTTCTGTATCATTCTTTTATATAAAATATACAAAAATATTTCGGAACGAATCTTCACGGGTCGAGCGTTGAAAGAGAGTCAGTGTAATTCAGTGTGTTAGATAGAGTGGCGCTTACACTGGATCTTTGGTAAGTTCCTTTTGGTAGGCAATTGGCGACTGTATCGCCTTCAGGAAGTCACGTTGGGTCTGCAGAATGATAGTGATCGTATGTATCCACTCCTGCTTTCGCGGCCCATTTTCTTCTACTGCTCTACAAAAGAATCCAAGGCCAGGTTTTCGAGGATCCGTCGATCGAATTATAAATTTTTCCGGTTCGTCGTAACATTCTTCTAAACTCATTTTATTCACCTATGTAAAATGAGATATTTCAGCATTATATTTTTATTATTTTATACCAAATCGTGACTTGCTAATTATGTAAACATAAAGGCAACTAAAGCAACAATTACGATGACTTTTTTTTATATATATCGTAGGAATCAACATTTTCAGCAACTCTTTTAATACGCATTAAAGAGTATTAAAGAAAAAAAAGAAAAAAATAAAAACATTTGGAATTGTGGTAAAAACTTTCCATCGCAAATAATCGATGCGTATGCTTTTATTATAGCGTTGTCCATATTTTATATGTTATAGATATGTTGTGATTTAATGCTAGAAGAATCGAGAAAAACATCAACGTTATCCGTCATTCTTTACCTGAATATGAGCCTTGTAAATATAGACCGGATTCGTGAATTGTGTTTTTTTGCCAACAGCTTCGCTAAATATAATATTCTGTTCGAAAAGGAAGACCTGCCACTCTTTTTCTTTGCTTGGTAAATTAGATGAAAATTCCGATACTAAGAGTGGTCCATGCAACAGTAATTTTCCTTGTGCTGTAATCTTTCCCTGATAATACAAATGCAAAAAAGCATTCAATTGAGATAACAATAATAACATCAGAACAATAAAATATCGTTGTAATTCGTATCGAAATACGATTACTTACATCGAAACCTTGAAGTCTTGCAACATCCATCATATCATTAGCTGCTTTTGGAATAATACGCATCACATCAACTGCAGCTCGAAGTCCTTCAATCTCCGACATTTTTTGAGTTCGTTCGGTAAGTCTTAATGCTTCTCGGAGAAGAAGTTGATATTTTGTGATCCTTTGAACTGGTTTAATCAAAAGATCACACAATTGTAATCGATGCCCCAGTTTTTGTCTTAAATCCTAGGCAATAATAATAGAAAGTTAAAAATACCTAACCTAATTATAATGGAGTTAAATTATAATAGAAACATCTTTACACGACACAAATTCAAGATTTTTTAACATACCTCGAAATACGTGTCTATATACTCAGAGACAATATACTCGGAAACTGGTTTGTTTTGACAATAAACAACATATATGTGCAATTTCCTTTCGTATCGTTTAAATAACGGGCCAAGTTCTTCCGGTCGTTCCAGACAACGTTCCAAAGCTTTCAGAAAGAAACTGTATAGACAAGTGAATTAACAAAGTACTCAATCATTTACATCATATATATATAATACTGTTATATGATATAATAGAAAAGTAATAAGCGAAAAATTTACTCTCTATGCCATTCGTAGATTGCTTCTATGTTGCCAAAAACCATTTTGTCTTTTCCTCCACGCAAGTCATCCGGCAATGGAACTTCAAACTCAGGATCTCGCATTAACGACATATATCCTTCGACTATTTGCTTTAAATCATTTACATAATCTTTTTCTGTCTCCACCAATTCTCGGATAACGAACTGTCGTTTCGCAAGCACTGCACTTTCCGGATCACACTCCTCTGCATTTCCGTGAGCAGGGCTACTCGTTGTTGCTGTTTTCATCGTTGTTGTTGTCGTCGTCGTCGTCACTAACGTCGTCATCGTCGTCATCGTCGTCGTCGTCATCGTTGTCATCGTTGTCATCGTTGTCGTCAACGTTGTCATTGCTATCGCCGGTACAGTCACCACCGCTGTAGGTGCTCTCATTGTTGTTGACGTTGTTGTAATTGTCGTAGCAGCAATCGTTATTGTAGTCGACAGACTACCTTCCTCGTAATCATCATCCCCATCGATACCAATATTCGAACTTTTACTACTAGGTGTTCGCATTAGGCTTTGTCGCTCTAGATTTTCCGTATGTTGTTCCTATATTTATGATTAATATATAGGTATCGGCATCAAACTTATCACAGATATAAAACCGATAGTTCTATTTAAATAACTTACCATCCTTTCTTTTACGATCTGTTCAATCTCAGCTAAATCAGCTGTCGTAGCACCGTCAAGAATTTTCGTTGAACGTTCAGTCGTCTGTACAGTTAACCAATTAATTTAAAAATTTTTCTCCGCAAATTAATCTCTACAAATACAATGTTACTATATTTTGCATCTACTACATTATTCAAACAGAATACAAAATTTTGAAATCTTAAACTATTATACTTCTACATAATAGATACGATTTTTAATTGTAACAGAAGTTTACGAAATTTATGTCTCACGCGTATGAAAGCACTATACGTATACTAAAACAGTTTCATCGATACAAAGAATGAAACGTCTAAATTTCTTCACGTACGATTTATTTGTATTCATTACGTTCATATTGTAATGTCAGGATCAGGTAAAGTAAACGAGTCACAGTGATGAACGATTCTATATTAAGGAGTGAATTGAGTGAGAGAGAGAGAGAGAGAGAGAGAGAGAGAGAGAGAGAGAGAGAGAGCACGTGGGGAAGGGAGAAAATAAAGATATTAAAATGAGGAAAAGAAAATCGGACTTACTCGAGATTTTGCACAGCCTTCTGTCGTAATTGCAGATCCCGATGCTCCGTTAGCAGTTCCTACAAGTATAGGTTCAGTGATGGGTTTCATCGGAGGTGGAAGTTCCAATTCATCTTCAGCATCGTCTGCTCCATTTTGCTCCGAATAAGTTAAAGTCTCAGTATCATCGGGTTCTGGTACATCTTCCAACTCAGGCTCTGATTGTTCGGTTTCTCCTTCCTCTTCTTTTATTTCAATTCCTGGCTGAAGTTCGGTATCAAGATCCGCTTCCGAAGCAGAAGTAGACACACGCATAGATGCAGTTGCGGTTGTTAACATAGAGATCGAAACAGGTGTGGTTCTTGAAGGTCGAGACTGTTCGGTACCACTCGGTAATTTAAATCGTTTTTCCGAGGTGTTCTTTTTCAAGGAAGACCGATCACACGATGACACATTCGAGATTACGGTTGATGTAACTGTCGGTGTCGATTGTGACGATGTCGGTTGTGATTTCTCAACTTTACCTTGACTAAGTTTACGCAATGGTGGAGGTAACCACTTTCTCCTATGGAACAGGAATGAAAACAAGAAAAATATTCACATTTATTTTTCTTTAGCATTTTTAAACCTATCATGTTTTCTTGCTTACCCGCTAAAGCCACGTCTTTTGTTTCCTGGAGAATTTGTATTCGCAGGACCACTTCCATCATTCGCGATAACATTTTCTATAAAAGAAAACAAGCACCATATAATACACACACGCGCGCGCGCGCGTATATACGGATTATAACAGTTTCTTGCGCGAATGTAAAATATTTAAGAAACAATATTAAATCAATAATAAATCAAAACCGCGATATTTGATCGCTAAATACGTCATTTGTTTTTGGAAATGTTAAACACATATGTCAGTGATAAAAATGAATGAACGAAATTACTTGCATCAGTCATAATACTAAATATTGAACGAAACATGTAATGTACAATAGCTAATAATTGAAATTTCGTATGTAACGAAACATTTGATTAGATTAGCTAGTATATAACTGATTAACAATAAAAATGACTAACTTTGAAGGAAGGTTAGTGCGACCGTTGCTATTAAAGAGCGTAAGTATGCTGAATGCATCGACTTTGTTCTATCGGCATGTCAGTTAAAGATTCAACCGGTCAAGGACACAGTTATCCCAGTACATCGTATTGATCCGACACGGTCGACTCGCGGAGTACGCGTACAATAGACTGCTGTCAAATAGGTAACCATATGAATCTCAACGTATCAATGTCCACGTAAACTTTCGATCGAGTTTAATACTCGGTATTCCACAATAAATTTATCTTTATATCCAACATTATCCGTATTTCGTCACGCATCTTCTATTCTATTTCATTCACTTTCACCTTGTTACTTTAGCTTATTCTTCCTCGTTCGACATTACGGTTTTGTGTTACATACATACACTATTATACCACACGTACAAACATTACCTTGGATTTTTCATTTGTTTTGCCTTATTCGGGTTCAGAGCGACCCTTATTTTATTTTCAATTAGTTTATTTAACATAGCGAATATACTTTTGTGAATTATCGCGTAAATATACCTCCTCACCTGTTTCGTCTGGCAATATATGTGTCGACACATTTTGAATGGATAATCCACTCGTCGTTATGCCTGTTGTTACCGACGATGAAGATCCCGCTGTTCCTGTAGTGGAGGATGATGGTGATGCAGAGGTCACGATTCCACCGCTCGACGCGGCTGTTTGAATTTGACTGCTCGACTGTTGAAGATAATTTGACTGTGATTGCTGTTGCAGCTGTTGATATTGTTGGCCTGGAATTTTTCTAGACGGTGAGGTTTTACTAGAAACCGGTGGAGGCTGTTTAAGCGCACTCGTAGGAACCAAGCCTTCTGGCGGTGGATCGACTTGCCCCGGAGCAACTAGTAAACGCACGTGGGTCCATTCGGAAGTATTTACACCGCTAATGTTGCTTCCATTCTCCAATACTTCAACTTGTTGACCCTTTGTTACCGTTAACTCTTTTGAACCAGGTGTCGCAGAGTGATCAGCAATAACCCAGGTCACTTCAGCTATGCCAGTCTAAAATAGAAAAATATAATGCAAACATCAAAGGATAGATTTTTCATAACGTAATCAATAATGAATCAACATTGAAGTTTTCAGAACAAAACGGCTATTTTTAACTTATTTTAACGATTCGAGGTAAGATGAAAAACCGAAAAGAATAGAAGCGTAGAAAAGGAGAGAAGGCAAAATGACAGGACGAGGAAGGGAAGATGGAAAAGAACAAAGTAGAGGAGGGTATAGCAGATTAACAGAGAACAGCGTCTCTGTTCACCGTGCACCGCCGATCGTCTTTGACTTTACGGTTCAATGAAGCGTTTAATGGATTATTCTAGCTTCGATGATTTCGATTTGATCGAAATAGCCTGTGTCTTTGATAGAAACACATACTAGCGCCGTTTTCTTTCGAATATACAAACGATGAATAGACATAACGAAATACGCGAGTTTCGAGTAACCATCCTTTTTTACTTATCGTGATTGAGTATTTACTTTTATCGAGTCACTGTGCACTGCGATTCACTTGACAAACTTGTTCGTTCAATTGGTCGAATTCACTTACACGATACCTTTTCATCTACAAAATGATTGGAAATCGAGGGTACAGATATACGCGCATAAATTTTCTCAGCAAGCCATCATATAAGCGTGTTTTATAGATATATTATACTTGTAACTAACAAGCTGTAGCTATTATGCAAAACCATATGCGACATTCTCCGTTCAGATATGTACCCGATTCGGTATACAAACTTCTATAAAAAGCAACCTTTCAACTTTTTCTAATTAAATTTATATATAATATAAGCGTTAAGGGGGGGGGGGCAGGATGTATACAATAACAAAAAGTTAAGATAAACTACTACAAGCTATGAGCGTATTACTATGAACCGTGATGATGGTTCTAGTTATAAGGCCGAGAGTCAAAACAGTCAGAGAGGTCGACTGCTTTCGCATCGCATTCCACCGACGAAAATAGACTTTTTCCACGTGCCAAATTTTGCCGATTCTCGTCGAATCCTTCCAATGCGTTCAACATGCCGATAATCCACCGATAAACGTTTGATTAATCGTTAACACGATCACATTAAATCGATTCTAATAATAGCGCCTAGAAGATTGATCAACGACAAATCATCGTTATTCGTGTATAATTCGGATTGTTAGTATCACGTTGCAATCATTAGATTACGTAATAAGTCTATCAGTTTTCCAAGGCAAAACACTTTACCGGTTCCACGCACACGTTTACATCCGAATCTAACCATAGGATTCATACGTAGTGAGAAACCTCGGCAACCAGCCAATTTCCATTCGATTCGGCATCCGTAATGATTTCGAGGAAAACGGAAAGAAAATAGGAAAAGAGAAAAGAACCAGACTTTCGATACATATATGCCATACGTACACATCTCCTGCGACTTCTTATCCATACGAAGAATAATTCAGTGGAAAAGATAAATAAATATATTCGACATTATTCCACGAGTATACACCGAAACAAATTTTCAAAATTAGAAGGCGTAAAGCGGTTAAATCAAATTTAACACGTATCGGAATGAAAAGACATTACCGTAGAAACATAGTTGAAACAACGAAACGAATTCGATAAATGAACAAAACAAATTTATCAATAATCAATTTCACAACGAAAGTAATAATTTCAATCCTTAGCCAACAGAAATTAAAACGAACAAGACGATAAGGAATAACGACGATAAGGAATAATGACGATGACGATGACGACAACGATGACGATGGCGATGGCGATGGTGATGGCGATGACGATGGCGATGGCGATGGCGATGGCGATGGCGATGGCGATGGCGACGGCGATGGCGATGGCGATGGCGATGGCAACAATGATGACGCCAACGACAAAAACGACGACAGCAATAGCAACAAAGAACATAAATTACTGAATACGTGTATACAGAAATGACTGCGGATGTGGCTAACGTATACGATTGCGGACGTGGATGCGGATACGACCTGTGACCGCGTTTCCTTATGTATTTCCTTATATATTTATAAATACAACTATGGATACATTAACAAATTTACTCAAATATCTATTATAATTAATTGACACTTACGTTATTACTTTTGACCTGAAATTTTAACTTCACATTAAGTATCTACATACTTAATGTATCAACTGATTTTTCTTTATATCTTAACTTTACCGCCTTTGTTCGGTATTAAATTCTTTTTTTCATCGATTCCCTGAACCATTTTCTCAGAGAAATTATTCTCCATGTTGTTTCGATTTCGACGAAACTCATCGTACTTTCGTACATTGTTTTTTATCATTTTATATTAATGTATTGTAAAATAATATTTTTAAGCTATTCCATGTCGTATAACGAACGAAAAATTGAACATTTTCAACGTTCTGTACTATCCAAGGGAAACATGGATGGAGAACATGAAAAAAGTGGTAACGCGCGCGGGCGCGAGCGCGTTTATGTGGGTGAACGAGTACTCAAGTACCTGGGAGAGGGAGGGTTGACGGTGCAAAAGTCGAGCCTGGAACGAGCTCGGGGTGTCGATGGTATGCTGCCTAGAGAGGGCTGCATGTGGCGGAGTTACAGAACTCTGACGGACCCAAGGCAACGAAATCTTCCTGCGGGCTTTCTTCACGATTGTTGCAGGTTTTCCTACTGGTGACGTCATGACAATTTTGTCTCGTGTTCAATTCACGTGCACAAACGCGGTAATCGTGTATGGTATAAGGAACGGAATTGAAGATATTATCAAACGTACGAGCGACATCCTGTTTTTAATAATTTTTCGTGTCTCTCGACAAGTCAAAACGTCTCGTCCAACGATTTACCACACTCACCATCGAATGGATCCATTCGACCCAAGTGTCGCGCCCGTACTGATCCCGTTACCTATCGTTCTTTGCATCCTAGCCCTCCTCCTCTTCACCCTCGCATACCTTACCACGTATTTCTCACCCTTCACCCCTTACCCCTTCCGACGACCGCCCTACCTTGTCACTTTTCTTCTATCCTACCCCCTCGTACACGCGCTGCGACGCGCTTGCTCGCTTTTCGATTATTCTCGAACTCCACCCAACCACGTTCCCGCTGCTCGCCGCTATCACTACCCCACTACCAAACCACCGACAAATCAGAGGAATAATCATTCATCGCTATTACTTCTATCTATCACTCATGTTTCTCTCTTTTATCCTTCTTCTATCACCGCTTTCGATCTATTCAATTTCTGTTACGTCCTATCCCAACAAATGCGTCGAGGATCATCGCAACGATATAACATGCCCGAAACAAGTATATGCACAAACATCATTTTTCTTCCCTATCCAGATTAATATCACGTTCCTTCTTCTCTTCCTCTTTCTTTCCATCATTTACAAAATGAATCATATACTTCCGTATTTACTATTTTTAAATCATCTTCTCTTAAACCAACTAACGACAAATACGACAACTACGCTATGATTTTCAAAACTAATTATTTAAACGTAAATGGAAAATGATCTTTACGATATTTTTCTATGAATAAACACCAACCTTACCTCGCACATTCGATTACGCACGAATGACGAATAAGCAGAAACCTTGCATTTTAAATTCCATCAATTTCTCTTTTTTCTTTATTTATATCTATTATGTTTCTTTTATTGCAAATGATATCGTGACGTTATATCGAATTACATTTGAATAGATTCAGAAGAGGCTCGTTAACTACAATTTTCTAAGGGAGCGATAACGAAACAGAAAATAGAGAATAATGAAAAAGTGAAAACCAAATTTTTCTTTAATCTTTTTAATTAAATTTCGAGATCCAACTTACCTTATCCGAGTCCGTAGTATTGGTGGAACCAAACGATGCCAAGGAATTTCTATCCAAATTTTCAACACTATCATCCAAAGAAGCGCATTCTTCGAGATCTCTGCTAGAACGCTGACTCGAACTCTTTTTCGCGGGACTCTTCGGCATGCTTAAACTGAAATATGTTTCCTGAATAACTTCGCGTAGTCTTTTCACCCACAGTTGCTTGGCATCCATCGAATTAGCTCGAAGAACCACACGTGTATCACTGGTCGGTGCTCGACCTGTCCAAACCGCGAATTTGCATTCGTCGCCCTCGATGTGCTCAGTTACGCCTAGCTCAGAAGTCATCAAACGACTTTTGTAAATGTACTTCACCTGTACAACATAATCTCTGTCATTACCAACAAACAAAACGTATTTTACATAAGTTAACCAATGATTATATTACGATCGCTTTTATCACGATCAAATAATTTTCCTTTTACCTACCTTTCCAGCTGAATCTTTCACTTCTTTGCTAAACAGTAGGTACAACTCAAACAAGAATATGTGCCGATCCCTGCCTTTTCTAATCAATTGCTTAGGATCCCATACCGTAAAGGAATCCTGTAGTACTACATCGCCTAGTGTATCTATTCTTACATCACAACCTTCCAGCATGCTCAAATGTAAGGCATCGTTTGCTTTCTTAGGCACATTTAACATTACTTCCAACCCGTCCTTTATTTCACCTTGTCCTTCTTGGCAACAAGCCTAGATATGTTTTGTCAACGTGTGAAAAAGCCAAAAATGAACAAAAAAAGAAAACATAAAAATGAAAAGAATCGAGGTAGCGATATGAAAAAATATCCAATGTATGAAAAACTTGCTCGGAGCACTTATACGTATGTATATATTTGAATAATTAATTATAGCATGGTAAATGTATAAAAAAGAAATAGAGCAAAATGTTTCTTATTCGATTACAGACCTGAAGATCTTTGAGCAATAATTGATACTTCGTTATTCTTTGTACAGGTTTAATTAGATACGCAGCAATTGGATGTTCAACTCGATGTTTCCTCTGTAATTCTTCAAACCATGTTCCACCATGAGTAACTAACAATTGATTGCTTTCTGGTTTATTCTTGCAGTATGTCACATACATGTCAAACTTAGGTGCCTAATCGATAAAGAGATCAAATTTTAATTACACTAACAAATCTATTTTACGTTACCAACGTTAATACTAAAAGTTAAGACCAAAGAAAAATATACTTACCCATGTCACAAAGCAATGTCCAACATCTTCTGGCATGGTCTCGTACTTCTCGAGCTCACGAAGAAATATGTTACTATGAAATTGGTGTATCTCTTCCATATTACTAAATATTATAGATTCTCGACCTTGTAATCCAGATGGAACGTTTCCTTTCCCACACCTTGTTTCTTCCAAAAAACATCGAATACATGTTTCCAAATCTTTTACGTAAGTTCGTTCTGTTTGCAGCAGTTCAGCCATTATAAATCTATAAACGTATTAGAAATGGCGAAAAGTATAGTTTATAACAAGTAAATAAAACATACGATTGTTGTCATTTCAACAGCAAGATACATACTCCTTTCGTCGTGCCGATCTTCTTTTTTCCTCATTCAGTTCTTTAAGATCTTTTCCCTTGATCTTTTCCTCTAGCAAAGGATCGGAATTGCGATCTATAGAAAGATCTTTTTGACCATCATCCGACTGAATTCCAAGATCCTCTTCGATTTGAGTTTTATAACAATCCATACGCGTACTGAAATCCTTGTATCGTTGATCCACTTCAGCAACAGACTGTTTAATCGCTGCCGCGTGAGCATGCCCTTTCTCCACTAAATTGTCAGCAAGTTGGATCAACAGCTTTACTCTTTCTCTCGTTTCCTATCGGTTAAGAGGGTAGAGCAATAAATAAAAGGAAAAAACAAACCAATATAGCGATTTTCTTGCATAAAATTTCTTTGAAAACCAAAAAAAAGCAGAACGGACAAAATCTACCTTTGCAGCTCCTTTAAATTCATTGTGCTCCCGCAACAATTGCTCATTTTCAATACGATTTTTGCCAACATTTGTATGTGTGGCTAAATACAATTCACCAGTTTCTCTAATCCACTCTAGAGCCTGTTTAGCACTCCGTTCGAACAAAACATACTGGTGACACTGATCCAATCGCTTCTTACGTTGTGTCCAATACTCCAATACGCGATTCTCCTTACTTAGTAATTCTTCCAATATACCTAAATCGTTGGATATTAAAACATGTAGAAAAATAATTAATCGTCAACAATTTTTTAGACATACTCAATGTAAATAATCCACTATATAGATTAACACGAAACTAACTTTTAACTTTATTCTCAGAACCAGCGCTGTTTGCCTGATAACTATAAAACTGAAGACTGCGGTTTGTATATTTCAGAAATGTTTCCGCAGTTCGTCGTACCAATGTGCACGCTTTCAAAAATGCTTCCTTTTGTTCTTGATGTTTGCCAACAAGTGTTGGTACTTGTGCTGCCTTCTCGCCAGAAGCACACCAATCCTCGTCTCTCTTGTATTCGCGTTCCAGGCTATCCAATACAGAACGAACTTGTTCTGCCGTTTTATAAAAATTAATACTAGCAGTTACCAATTTGTGCCTCTCCTCTGCACACGTAACAAGTTGTTGCCACCTTTTAGTTACATCCTCGGCTACTTCTCTTATACTCTTTGGATCATAGTGATTCGCACTCACTAGTGCATCGGCTCTGTGTTTCACCTATCATAATTAATACAAGTTTTTACTTATCCACTTTTCTTATAACACTATTCTTCAAAATAATCGTTAATTTATCAGAAAGCAGAAAAGGAATTTACATACCTGAACAGCGGAAGTATGCGTTTTTTCTATAGCAACTTGAAATTGTTCGTGTTCTAAACGGAGCTGTTCAGCATCCTGAAGATTTTCCGGAACTCTTAAGGAAGCTAACAACATAGCTTCTCCATTGCGAATCCAATTGGCTACATGTGTAGCGTCAGTTTGCAATTGAACCAACTGAGAAGCTTGTTCTAAACGCACCCTTCTCATCTCTGCTAAATCTTCCGCATCCATTTCTCTTTCGTTTAAGAATTCAAGAAGTACTTGTACTCTAGATGCAGCACTATGTTGTCCATCTGCCATTATGCAAACCCCTGCTTGTTCTAATACCTGTCAATGTTCAAAAGAATGCAAACTCTATATAAAATAATTTATATCTCTGATATTTCTTGCATCGTAATTTAATATTTCGTCTAATTCTTAAAAATATATTCCACTTTTACCTGAGCAAGTTCTTGACCTTGTTGAAGAACCTGAAAAGCGGTATTCTGCATATGTGCAACACCATCATTGTGTACGCGTAATAACTGTTCAGGAGAACCTTCTCTAGGTGGACCTTGCAGCTCCTGCGCCCACATCTCTAACTGACCGCTCGCTTCTAATGCATCTCTCTCGAATACGCGCAACCGTAGACACAATTCCAATCTTAACTTTCTAGTAGCCCATAAATCTTCTAATTCCTGTCTTAAACCTGCTAACCTATCTAATGCAGCTTCTACCGCAGATATCTAAAAATAATTCCTCAACGTTATTTTTTGCCCAAGAATGTATATTCAAATAACAAAGACTATATTAGGTTGTAAAACTCACAGATCCAGTAGTATCAGGAGCATCAGTAGACTCTCGGAGTTCTCGAAGCAACGCTTCGCCCTGAACAATAGTTGATGCACAAGCTTCCATGCAGGAAGCACGATGTTGTGCACATTGTTCCAATAATCTTTCCGCTGTTTCTAAATTCTCTGCCACCTCATCTTGTTGCAATTCTTGTCGCAATTCGTCAACCCAACCACTTAACTGTTAAAAATATATACACCCGTTTCTATATTTTTAGTACTACTCACATTTAAGTTATATTGTACCTCTTTTTCATGTGTATAAAATACAACAGCCAAATCTAATCTTCGTCGGCGTTGTTCCACTCTTGCTGCAAAACTACTAACGTGAGCCTCTAATTCCTGTGCCACAGCATAAATTTCATCAGCAGCACATTCACCCGTGTGTGCCAATTCTTGCGCAGCGGTAAGCAATTTAGTAGCATTCGTGTAAGTATTCTGAACAAATGAAAAATCATTTATTATAATATTTATATCAATGCAATCATTTGTAAGTAGTATAATCGAATTATTACCTGTGCGACATTTTCAAAATGTTCATGACTTTTCTGGTAAACTCTCGCCTTTTGAAGATTACGACCCACACCCGTGTTCTTCCTAATAAATACTTCACCGTGATTAGTTAACCAATCCAAGACTTGTTTCACATCTTCTTGAAATAATCTGCAAATGATCAGTTATCAAGTAAAACAGAGAAATTCCGTTGATACGCATGTTAATAAAAAACGATGTATGTATAATAATGAATTTAGATTGACAGAACAAATGCTCGTTCTTTGTCCACTTCAGTAAAATTTAAACGACACGACCATTTGTTAAAGAAAATCGTCGATCTTGCTCTTACTCGTTTATTCTATTCCATGTTCGTTTACATTAAATGAGCCTGAGTTTTGATAAAGTGCATTTGCTCGGTTGATCTAAACGTACCTTAATGATATGAAATGCAAGCGAATGAGAGTACCTTAACGCAAGCCGTTGATGTAGTTTGACTTTTCGAGCATGCCAACGAGCTTCCAATGCTCTATGATGACCTAAGATTTGATGGATTACCGACAATACATGAGATGCACCCTCGCTATAATCTGCCGCTGGATTTCCGCTCATACCAGAGTGTCCATCGATGCCATGTCCATCCTGACTCTGAACAAATCAATAATCTTATCCATTCAATCACTGAAATTTTCCATTTTAAAGCGCTTTTGAATATTTAGATGTTATGACATTTATTATACATCAACAACTTTGAACAATACGTGCTTATCGTTATTCCCATAACTATAAGCTAAAACCCGGTAATACGATAATAATTGCATGCAATTTTATGTCAAGACAATAAGGAGGAAGGGGAGAGCGGGACAATGGCAAAAAGGAAACCCGTCAATTTAACGAGCACGCATCATAGTGTGATACTATCGATAAAAGCTTAACATGCATATCCCGTATATTTTTTCTATCAAAGTAAACTGTATATAATTGATATGAGGCAAAAGGTAAATTAGAATAATACATAAAGCAAAATAAAATAGATTAGTTTGCAGGCATGTACGCGTACATTCGTGCACACCAATAGACGTACATGTTTTCTGGTTGTATGGTCTATTCCTTGCGGCTGATTACAGACTTGCACGAGATGATCCAGTTGATAAAGAAGCTTCTTACTGGTACTATGCACCTAAACAACAGTACGATTACCCAAAACCATATTTCAAGTTCCGCCAATTAATTCCAATAAATATTAAAACCATATTTCAATTCCGCAATTCATAAGAAGTTTACGAATCTATGCAACGAGAAAGAACAAGTTTCGTTTGTGTTTAAAGTTGTCGCATGATGCACCTCGTTTCCTTTACTCGCAAGGTTAACTCTTACCATCTAATCCCTCGTCTTTATGAATATTTATTTTTCTCTTTGTTTTTCTGTTTATCAAACCCGCATACCAAGCAAACGACCACCGGTTAGAAGCTATTTAAAAAAAAAAAAAATGACCCATCGTTTCATACATAATCGATGCAAAATGTATCCGAGCTCGAACCGTGCGTCGAACCGAAGCCGTGACAAACTTGCAGCATTGAGCCTAGTCCGCTCAAAAGTGCCTGATACGCGTCATATACCTGCCAAACATTATTGTCTTTTACTAAATATGAACCCTGTAGACGATATTGCGAGTTGCGACGCCAAACTATGTTCAAAATTAGATGAAAGATTCACGTTTCGTTTCTTTCTTCGTGTCGCGTACCGTTGTGAGTCGAAATCAAACATACAATTGTGTTTCACGACATATAAGGATAAACATATGTACGCATGGAGAGACAATGTACTATGAAGTATAGAAACAAAGATTACCTCTGTATAAGCTTGACACATTGCTTCATAAAGAGTCTGATGCTGCCGTATGTGAGACTCCAAAATTGGTATTTCGTTAGGTAAATTTCCAGCATCGCAAGCTTGACTCCATCCTGCGACACTATCGACATATTGTTCCGCTTTATGATGAAATACAACACTCAGACTAAGAACTGCAGTACGTTCATCGAGTCCTGCCGCGAATTCCTTCCAAGCCCGATCCAGTCGACCAGCTACTGCTCTCACGTGACCGGCAGCATAATGTTGAGTTTCAAGCAAACGACTAGCCATGGTTAAAATCTTATTTATATTTACGTAAACGTTCATAGAACTCATAGTAAAATGTTTGTGCTCTTCCTGTAAATTTTTAGCCAGTTGATATGAACGTCCAATTTCGACATAATTTGCCAAAAATCCTTCTCTATTGTGACAAATCCAATCAAACATTTTTTCACAATCTTGTTCAAAAAGTCTCAGCTGAAAGCATTGATCCAATTTCATCTTCTTGATATGCCATAACTGTAAAAGATGCTGTTGTGCAGCATGCACAGAATCTAAATGTTGAATCACTAACGCTGCTAGTGCTCGTCCATCGGGGTCAGTGCCACCAGTCGCTCCACTCTCTATACTTCCACCTTCACCACTGTTCGCTGCTATACCTGAAAACAATATATATATATGCGTTACTGAATATTCAATTTTCAAATGACAATCAATTTATAACTTATGATTGGACATATCAGGAAAAATGAATAATGAAAGCAAAAGTACTAATGATAAATTTTTTGTTACCGTTATCGAAACGTTGTAATAATCGTTGTCCGACAACTTCAATATCTTCAACTGGAACTTTCATAATTTTCTTTTTCATTTCATTATGTAGATCAATTCCGTGTTTCGCTCCAGCCACATCATCCGCAAAATCATTTCGACTCAAATCCTCCTGTAAGTCGTCCAGTCTATCAAGAAGATCAGCCGCCTGCCATGTAAAATCTTCTACAGCTAATCTCGTATCGATCCATTGAGCATGGTCATACTGTAGTGAACCATCTAAATCCGCTGTCAACTGCGATGGATCAATCACTTTTGTCAAAGCTTCTAAATTTATGGTGTTTATCTAAAATAGAAAAAATATCAAATATTTTATTATTTTAATACACTTCCCTTTTATAATTCTGTTTTTACTCACTTCGAAGTTATATTTTTTTTGTTTAGCCAGCGACGTCCGTTGTTTCTGCCAGAAATTTTCAGGCTTGATGATAAAAGCAACATGAATTGATCGATGAAAATGTTCATGTAATACCTAAAATTTGAAAATATCAACTATTAATACTGACGGACCTATTAAAATTATTATCATGTAACATGTAGTTAAAGAAAAAATTCACCCTATATCACTAAATATAAAGTATTTTTAAGGACTCAAAGAATAAATATGTTTGAACATTGATTACTATGCATACTTAAGATATGACCTTTAATATTGGTTTAACAGAATCCCAAGTAGCACCACGCATATCTACAATCACAGTGAAACGTAAACCCCTAGCTTCATCCCCGGGTACAGTCAATAAATATTGGAGAAGGCGACGATAATCCTCAGGTTTGGCTCTCTCACGTCTTGGTGTAGTGGGAAACACAAGTACTGGTCCACCTCTACGGTCCCGACCACCTGGCAAAATGGCCAGACGTTCTTGAAGCAAAGGTAAAACCTCTGCAGCTCTTGTTCCATCCATTTCTCCCACTTTTATTTGGTCAAGTCAAATCTACCTAATAATATTTACTTTATTACTAATTATTAAATTGTCGAAACTCTCAGAAAAATGTTTTCTTCTTCTTAAAGAAAAAGCGAATAACTTATTTTACAACTTATTATATAGACCATATTCAATAATATGAATTATAATTAGTACTGCTGAAAGTCTTGTTGAAATGTCTCCATTACTTTATTACATTATCATACAACACGAAATGAAATATTACGATTGAATATATAAACGAAACAAACATTTACATTTCTTCCATACTCAAACATTTTAACAAATACTTAAAGAATATGAGCAACAAATTTTATAAATACGCACGTAAAATCAACATTATATCAACGTTGTCTTCATCTATCATAGCATTCTTCGAAAAAATGTAACAAAAATACTTTTATCTTTGATAGTTCTATTGTTGCAACTATTGAAATCGTCATTATAATTTCAACCGCTGCTACCATCACTGTCACGTCATTCATGTAAAAAATTATGTTTAACCGTCACTAAATTTATCTATTAATGTTCATACAGTAAGAAAACCGAGAAACCGTTTTCCTACCTATCGATACGTATTCGTACTTGTCGTATTTGTGCTTAGATCGAAATGTCTTTTTTGGTTTCATCCGTTTACGTAGCCCCATACCTTCGGGCAAATCACAAATCAGAAAGCAAGGCTGAATGAAAATGAACATTGTTTCGCTTACCCGTTTGAGAGATCAATTCGATAAAATTTTGGTCGTTCCGACTTTCTTATTTGTACCATGCACACGTGTGATGAATAAAACGCGTTGTGATTCATATTGTTAGTTCGCCGGCATTAAAACTCCTATATTCACAATGAATACCAAGTTCCGAAATCGCTACCTGCCAATGGCAGTCTGCCATATTCGAACTGGTACGGACAAGAAATTTTCAATGATCCCGTCGTTCGAACGTCGACGTACGGAATATATACGTTAATGCTCGTTACTACCGTTCGAGGGCAGCACATACTTTTTAGATTTTCCGTATTGTAAATTTGCGTTAAAATCGTACATAGATAATATACGCGTTTTGATCTGAACCTTACGAAGGTTGGATTCATTATTTGCTTTGATCTTCAAGTCAGATTTATTTAATTAACGGTATTTTATATTGAACTATTTTGTTCTATTTTCTTATTTATATCATCGAATAAACAGTGCAAATTCGTAGAATTTTTCATATTAACGTCTGTAATTGTTATGTTTAAATTTTAATTGCTAAAAATAATGTACCAAGAAAATGACAAAATATATAAAATATTAAAGGATAACTTATGAAAGAGTAGTTTTTTATTCAAGAGCAATAAACAATCAAGTTTTCTTTTAAGAAGAATTTAATTATTTGCAAGAATTACAAAAGTTTTAAATGAGATATGACAAATTTGTTTATCATTGAATTCTGTTTTCTGTGTATCGATAATTTAAAAATGAAACTTATATAGTTGTATGATTTTGTCAGAACTGTTACCTTTTGTAATATATTTCGGAAAATATATAAAATGTATCAATATTTTATTATATATGTGTACTGATATGAATGTATTCTAATGCATTTGAGCTCTAATAGTTGCACTAAAATGGGTCTACAAATCCATATCTTAAAATTCGTGTAATTATCAAGATAATTGAACTTGTCATATAAGAATTAAAATTTGTCTACTAACATGCTTTGCTTGTTTATTCACACTATGTGACCATTTTGCCATGTATTGGTGGTTTATAATAATTATCAAGATTGAACCGTATATATGTATATTAATAGTTCATCAAATACAGTTTGATAATGTATGTTATCACAATTTGATTAGAATAATCTAAACTCTGTTTAACTCTATTTTGTCATAGCAATTTAACGATCAAACTTGTATAATCAGTGTGCATTTAAAATTATACAAGATATGGCAAATACAGTTTTACAAGTGTTTACCAAAGGTGTATCTCCATATTTGAAAATCCATCTGGAACATGTTAGGTATGGGCATCATTTACGAGGAAAGCCACCAACTATCGCTCTCAGTTTAAAGCAACGGCTTAAATGTAAGAGAAATATAATGTAATACAATTAACAGAAATGTAATATTTTCTGATAAAATCTCTTCTTTTGCCAGTATTTGAAAAACTAGAGCAAACTAAAGTAAACATAGGCTTTTCTGTGCCAAAAGTTTTGATACAGGAAAAACAGGCTTGGATAACTGAACGAAAAACCAAACGATTTAATATTAATTTTGAGAAAGAAGCAAAAAGCGGTAGATGTAAGTAATAAACTTATAAGTGAGATAATGTTATATACATACGATATTTGTTTTATGATAATATTCTATGATCGTTTTATAGTGTCAGTGAATTTGGAAGAAGTAAGAAAGGTTTGGTTAAAAACGTGCAGTCCATTTGACATTCATAGAATTGCAAATCACTATGGCATTTTTCAAGATTTATTTAGTAATGCATTTTTTTTACCAGTTATGCCACTAGAAATCATTTACAGAATAGATGATGATACTGTAGTCAGAGTTCATACAGGAAATGTTATAAAACCTATGGAAGCAGGTGAATTGCCATATGTCAAGTACAAAGCAGGAAGTAATAGTTTATGGACACTAATAATGTGTACACCAGATGGGACCTTGGAAAACTCAAATAATGAATATTGTCATTGGTTTATGTGAGTTGATAAACTATTTTCTATGTGATTAACTTGGATAAATGATGTCTAGATCATAATATATCATAATATATCATATTTGTTAGAGGAAATATCCCAGAGGATAGACTAGAAGAAGGAGAGCAAATAGTAGATTATTTGAGGCCAATTCCAGCTAGAGGGGTAGGTTATTATCGTTACATATTTATCCTTTACAAACAAAATCAACATTTAGATTACACAGAATACAAGAAAATTCAGCCTTGGTAAGTAAACAATTGTTAAAAGGTAGATTATATAGCTTGATTTTATTGTACCATTGTATTTTATTTCAATCACATATTTGTATTTCAGCCTACAGTTAAAAGAACGCAACTGGAGTTCATTCGAATTTTATCGCAAACATCAAGATAATCTTACACCAGCTGGCTTAGTATTCTTTCAGAGTGATTGGGATCCTACAGTGAGAGAATTTTACCACTCAGTATTAGGTATGCATAATTAGTTTCACTGTTTTTAATACACTACTTCAATGTATGATTTGTCATAATATATATGTATATTTTAAATTGAAACAATTTTTTCTTATAGATACAGAAGAGCCAATATTTCAGTATGAATTTCCAAAACCATATCTTAAACCACAGACATGGTTTCCATTACGACAACCATTCAATCTTTATTTGGACAAGTACAAGGATTCCAAAGATGTAATGAAAGAATTTTTGTTAAGGAAATTACGAACAGTACATCCTTTTAGAGAGCCAAAGCCACCTATCAAATATCCTAATGCATGTAGAATCGAAGATAGTGTACCTTCTTGGTTGAAAGTGGAAATACGAAAGGAACGCTTGGGTTGGGGCCGAGTTAACGATCTGAAATAAAATATTTTCTAAATAAGAAGTTGTAAAATATGTTTTTGTAAATAAATAAGTAAAACATATATTGTATAAAGAAAAGTATTGTACAAACAAACATACATGAACATAGTTTGATATTATAACGTACACATTAGTACAGTTTTGTTATGGAAAATGAAAACAGAGTAGAGTATCACTCTAGTCTCAAATAAGCTTCCACAGCTTGTTTGCTTCTTAATTTAATTTCTGCTCGTGTTGGTACTGAAGAATCAATCGCTTGGTGTTCAACAATAAGGCCTAGAAAATACAATGAAACATACTGCTATTGTAATGGAACGGATTAGAATGATTGAAATATTCATTGTATTATATTCGTTGACTGTGATTACGATTATATTTACAATTATATTTATTAAAAAATGATCGTTTGCTCACGAGCACTCACCCGTTGGTTCCATTTCCGTATCTTTGAACTTAAGCCTTGATCGATAATCAGAAATATAAGTCTGGTAGAGATCTTTTGCTCTCTCCTCTCTGTCTTTGTTAAATTCGAAATTGCTCATTCCAAATAGTGCACCTACTTTTCGGCTAACCGTGGATAATAATGCTAAACCTAAAGGAGGATACAAAAGTGAGAAAATATGTCACTTGACAGGTATATTAATAAATTTTAATTCTCTCTTCGATTTTTATTTCACCTTCTGTCTCCATTTTTTCTATCATTGGTATGTCGATTTGCTTTTCAAATTCGTCCGTTGGCCGCTTTGTCGTTACTCTATTACTTCTTTTAACACAAACCAACATTGCCACCATGTTTTGCAACGATGCTCTTATATCCATCAACAATTCGCCACGTTCCTTTTTTGAATTTCTACGTTCAAATTCACGTTTCTTTTGCATCGCGATTTGTTCTATTAGGATATTTTTGTCCGCATTGTATCTGTAAAAAGTTTCAGCTGTACATTATCATATCACGCATGAATATATTTTTTGCGTGATAATAACACTTACTCTTCAATACTAGCTACTAGGGAGTGCTCGAAATTGGACAGAATAGATAATGCTTCGTTCTTTTTGCTCAACAATGAATCGCGCTCCTTCACGTTGCGATTAAATTGTTCCACTAACCGTGTTCGTTGTTTCATTTGTTCTTCCAATCTAATCAATTAAAATAAACGTTTAGAGAAGAAAATTTATAAAGAAAAAGACATTTTATTTTTTGATTTTGTCAATCTTACGAATTGTCGCGATCTAAATTTTCCAATAAGAAATGAAAATAATAAGAAAATTTCAACTTTACCTTGAAAGTAATTCTCGATAGGAATGTACGAGTAAGGAATCTTTTATTTTGTCGAATATTTCTTCCAAAGATTTTATTTGTTTTTCCAACATTTCATTCATCGTAGTTCCAGTACGTATAATTTCCGTGGTTAAAATCGCTTCGCTCTGTGATACATACAACACGAATAGAAGAACTATATGTAAGTTTTTCCGTGGCGTAATTCGGCTTTGCTGCGCGTTTCCACTCGTTTTTTGTTATTGAAACTTACTTCAGTTCGAATCAATGATTGCGCAAATGACCATAAATCCTCAACTTGTTCGCGCACGAATGTTAGCATGTCTTCTCTTTTTTTCATATTGTTCCAAACGTTTCGTGTGATTCGTTTATACTTAGATTCGATGTCATTTGTGTCTTCAGTTGCGAGTTGGCCGATTATCGTTGTTCGAAATATCACTTTGCATTGATCTTTACAGTCTTGTTTCAAAGCGTTTAAGAATGTTTCATGATGTATCGCGTCCTACAAATATCTTTTCTATCAAGTAATGAATAGGATAATAATTTTATGCTGGTGAGTATTACTCGATGTACGCTTTTTCTTATATTTTATATATTTTATATATTATAGTTTACTTTTTTCAAGATTCCAAGTATATACGTGTATGTTAGATTTATTGCTTTTGCCGCGTTTTGTCTTGCAACTGATTTTTGATACCGCGATACCAATTGTTGTTGTACTCGATCTTGAGACCATGATAAACCTTTTTCTTGTTCATAGATGTTACACAGTTCTGTATGTTGTATCTTTATCAGGTATGCCATGTTACATATATGGATGATATACTTTACTCTTTCTTAAGTATGCACATATAACGTACTTGTAGTTCAAAACATTGTTTCATCTTTCTTTTCTTCTCGTAACGAAGTTTATCTAATTGACTGCGTTTTCGATGATTTTCCTCGTAAATAGAAATATAAATGTGCTATAAAAGCAATAGAACATATCATGAAAATATATCATTGTTTACCACGTAATTAATGAAAGTTTATTTAATGGGAAAAGGACATACGGAGAAAAGTGAGCATTACAATCGTGTAATGCACATATAACGTATATATGACAGTTATGACGTATTGAGAAATATAACGTACCGAAAACTCACCTCTGTTTCATGACCATGACATTTTAATCGTAAATTTTTACGACTTTGCAACAAACTACGTATATGGCCTTTCGGAGTACCTCTTGTTATCTCGCCGACTATTTGACGATAATCCTTTATATCCTGTTTATACGAACTCAACTGCCAAGATATATTTTTTTTAAATTTTGCAGCATCTTGTATCTTTATTTTCCTTTCGCGTGCTAGAGTTTACAAGGGTTTCATTAGATAACGATTAATTGTAAAAAGACGAAATAGATGTTTCTCAGAGATGAAGCATGGAAATCGTAATCGTAAAAAGGAAGCAAAATATTGATGGAGTTATAAATAACTGGACTCGATTTACTTCAATTAACACTATTTGTAACCAAAAATATCCGTATATACTTCCCTTTATTTCGTTATAGAAGAGAAATTATATGCATAAACGATTGTCACAAAATCTTTTCTTACCGTATAATTTGAGGATCCCACGATATTGTTCTAATTTGTCTTTCGTTGACCATCTTACGTCTTTGATTCTACGAAATGTCTGTATACGTTTATGAGTCAACATTTTATTAAAGCACCATCGATAAAAAGAATTGCTATCGATTTTGTTATGATGTTAAAGAAATTCTGATTACAACTCAATAATTAGGACATTTGCTACAACGAGAGACGAACAATCTTAGAGAATAACGTAATTTTATTTTACATACAAAGATGTATTTTACATACAAGGGAAAAATGTGTGATTCTAGATGTTCCTAAAGGTTAGTATTAGGCATCGTACAATCTGCATCGCATTCATTTATTGCACACGTATTATAGACGTACATGGGTCTCTCTCTCTCTCTCTCTCTCTTTCTCTCTCCCTCCCTCCCGCCCCCTCATAACCCCCTCCCTACCCCTTTTTCGCACTTTTCTCCCTCCCTATAACTATTTTCTTCGTTTCTTACCCCGTTGTATCTGTTGTACCTATTCACTCCTTATTCTAAGCTCATTCGACTTCTTTCTAAATGACAATCGTTGTTCCTCTCGTTTACTTAGTTTTGCGACTTGTATTATAATGTTTTGTTAGTAAAAAATTTCTGATGTTATATATTAGCTAGGTTAATGCAATATGCCTAACCTCGAGTTGAAATCTAAGTTTATGTGCTGTCGAACTTTTGACATATGAAGTTTTCATATAATGATACAATGAAAACTGCCATAAAATGACATTGCAAGAAAACGATTGGTTAGGCGATTAATCGTTTCGAATGCATAGAAAATTCGATCATGTAGCTTCGTTGATATGTTATTTTGCGATCAAACACGTGCTAGTTTGTGCTCTAGGTCGTATATATTTTTAACGGAATTATTTGAAACATAGCATAATTGAATAATTAAGTATTAATGTACAGGATGTATGAAAATTAACTGTCTCGGCCATCGTGGCCGAACGGAGAGACTTCATACTTCCCTTTTGTACATTTTGCCGGATTAGACTCCCCTTTGCTTATTCCGCTTTGGAATAAATTAAACGATACCGGAAAAGTATCGAACGATCGACCATCCGATGCGTCTATGCGCAATAAGTTAAAACAGAATGGTTCATTTGCTACCTATAGTTCCTTTCCGATATTTCCTCATCATTACGTCTAAGATACGATGCCATAAAAAAAATTTGATCTTGTAAATCATTCTCAAGGACAATTTTGTGGTTACTTTTATTAACAGATCTTCACTGATCCAAATGTGTAGAATCACGCTGTAATGGTCGTGACAAACCATTTTTATACATCCTGTACATACCTTTGTACGGTTTGCAATTCCGTGTTTGTTCGCGTTTTACAACGTAATACATTGAACGACTGCTGTCATTGATAAAATTTCATCGTTTTTCTCTTTAAACATCTTTATATGACCTACAAGGTGGTGGAGGTGCACTCCATATTCCATTTTCTCGACAAGTCGGCTTCCTTACGGGTTCTAAGGGCGTTACATACCCCGGTGAGCAAGTTACCTAACAGACAAATTATGCAATCGATGAAAAGAAAACGACGAGAAATATAATACAATTCATATGGATATAGATTTATGCATTTACATATATGTACATATTATTGTATTATCGACGTCGCCAATATCGTCGATTAGAATAACAATAAATGTGGAAAATTATACTAAAGAGATTAATCGATTACCTGTATATTGTCACCTGGTTTGTACCAAAATTTTAGAGGTGCTATTCGTCCATGAGGTGGATCGCCAGGATACGGGCATCTCACTTTGCCTAACGATATGAAAGTGCCATTTGTTGTGAAACAAAATGGCATGTATTTGGCTGATTGAAACCTTAGAAAATGACTAATAAAAATTTCGAAAACTTACAAACTGGTGGTGGATGAGACCATGTTCCATTCTCTGTACATATTACAGATGCTTCACCTAATAGTTGATGACCAGGTAAGCAAGCAAACCTGACAAGTGCACCAACTTTATACACACGCGTTTGATGGTATTTCCTTCCTGAATTATGACGGTTTGTTTGTTCTATAATACGGCCACTTTTTGGTATCAATGGGATTGGACAGATAATTTCTGCAAATAAATTGTATCATTACAGGATTACATGTACGTTTCCAGCACGCGAATGAAAAACTGAAGAGGTATTTATTAGATGCCTACCTACGCAACTAGGCACAGTTCCACTCCACGAACCATCACCTTGGCACTCTATACTCTGTGATCCTAATAATTTATGTCCCCACATGCAAGCAAATACTGCTCTACCGCTGAAGGTATTGTTGTATTCCAGTACCTGTAACCATGAATCGCCGAGGGTGTTCATAGGTGGGCACTCGATTGTTTCACATCGCGGCATATCCGCAGACCATTTACCTGGAGATATATATTCAATATTATTATTATTCGGATATATGTTCAATTACAAAATTTTACTAATTTTCTCTTTCTATCTATCTCAATAGCGGTCTAAGCATACTCAATGTCATATTTCGGTTAAACTCCTTACCGTTATACTGACACGTTATACCAGCTGCGCCTTCTAATCTAAACCCAACGGGACATTCAAATACTGCTCTATGACCCATACGTGCCCCTTCGATTTTACTAATTAACGGTGGTTCAGGTAGATTCAAAATAGGACACTGGACATCTGCAATGAGCGAAGAATAGCGATTGTGTTTCCCATTCCCAATTCCCATTACCGGTTAAACGTTCGCTTATTACGATTCATTCGATATACAGTATTAGCAGGAATACGAATTACCTTTATCTCTCGATAATCTGTTGACAAAGAAAAGGGGCAATTAAACTTACCTACAACGTGAACATGTATGGAGTTGGATAATCCGCGAGGTGTAGAGCACGTGTACACTCCTGAATCTTGCGCTTTCGCATAATATATAGATAAACGATACTTCCAGTCTCTTTCACGAGAAGCAATCGCCCATCCTAAATTGCAAAAGAAAGATCGTTACATATAGTTATAGTTACATTCCAATTTTCTCGATACAAAACAAGAACCAAAGTTTTGATTACTTCAAATGTTACGCAAGATACGAAAGATCACCAATTTGATCGCACAACTTATATGTGCATATACTTCATATATAAATGTATATATAATCTAATATCGTATATTTAACGATTAAATCCAAGATTTGTTGGATCATAATAATTTTTATTGCAACGGTTAAATTACATTTCTTAAATACGACTTATATGTTCTTTTGCGATTCGGGTGTCTCACAAATTGGCAGAGGAATAAGTGTCTGTTGGATGATAATGGATGTTATATAAAATAGGAAACTTTGGAGTTGGAAAACGAGGATTATACGAATAGAAAACAAGTAAGACAAAGGCGGAAGACGGATTATTTATACGAACATAGGAATTTGAGGGTTCGATGGCATTTTTCATCGGGTTTCTGTACATGATGGTGAGCCTTATAGCGGAGTAGATCAATGCTGACGTACACGCTAGTATGGATACTAGCGTACTAGTAGTGTACTAGTAGGTTCACGCTATACGCTGAATTCTATTGTATAGTAGGAATGGAATTTTGCTGATACCTCCAAAACTAAAGCCAACTCACCAATATCGAAAAGTAAGGAGTTGTTAAAAATTTGCCACTTTTTAATACATTTCAAGATTTCAAGATAATATACTTATAGTTAATCTAAAACTTAACCCTTGGTTTTTTGCCAAATGCCTCTGACATATTTTTAGTTTGTGCTATTTTTCCCGATTGCGTTGCTGTCATTTGTTTCTTCTTTCTGTGCACCCTTATGCACATCTATGTACATAAGATAAATGACGACAATTAAGATTTACCGGTTAAGTATTGACGAAACGTCGAGGTCCAAGTCCATTCGGGATTACCAAGTTTCCTAGCGAACAGACATTCAAGGTGAAGTATACTTCCAGGGAAAACAGCGAGGGCACCGGACGGCTCGACGGCAGCTGAACCGGCCGGTAATCCAAATACGATCGTCGGTGGTACATCCTCTATTTCTCCTCGAACAATCAAGAAGAGGAGAAAGATTAAATGGAACGGAATTTTCTCCTGTCCCCGTTTAAAAAAGATTTACAACAGAATATTTCAACTTGAAATTTCATTATTTTCCCAATGATTATCATAATCAAGACAGTGCAATATCGCAAATACAATAAATTTCTTTGACTTTTAAAAGTTAAAGTTAAAGAAACTTTAAGAAAAATTATATTTATCGATCAACAACGCGTACGCAGACTAACTTACTTATCACAAGAAACAGAAATTACATTTGTTTTCTTACCGGTGTAGTTTGAAATCGCTGTCGTCGGAGTGCACGAGGGTAGTTTTCCATTCCAACTGGCGTTACGGCAATGTAAAAGAGAATCACCAACGAGTTTGTATTTGCCGAGTTCTCTGCATCTTACCGTCACGCGTTCCCCATGTGGTACAGTGATCTTATCTACCTAGTAACAATCGTACATATGATCGTTTTTATTTTATTTGAGTAACCAACTATTTTATTAAATAAATAAAATTTCACGTGTTGAATACAATTCATAGGTAAGAAACGAAGTTAAACATCAAAAGTTTCGACATTCCTTTTCCTTTTTTTTACTTTTTCTTACTTTTTCTTTACTTTTTTTCTTTCACAAACCAAAATTTTACTTTCTAAAGTATAATGTCAAAAGCAGAAACTTACGGATATCGTAATATTTTTATAGGTAACAATTAGAAGTGGATGTAAACCTTCAAGTTTGCAACCTCTTTGAAATCCTCCGGTCTCTACAAGAAAATTATTATAATTAACATATACAGGGTTGTTTTCTTGTTTTCCTTTACTTTTGTTTTACTATATAATGAGAATGATTTAGGACAATGAGTTCGTGCAATATTTAAGATGTCGATAATCGACTATCGTGTGCATATGTGTAACATACGTAATACACGTATTACATAAATGCGTACGTATGTAGTTACAGAGGATTGTAATTGAAATGATCATGTATACGACTATTCTTCTTTCAATCGTTTCGTTGGTTTCACTGTTGAAACACGAAACACGTGTTCACTGATATATATTTAGTATTTATTTTACGACGCATGCTCAGCATGGTTTCAGTGTACGTTCAATAACAGAGCTAAATGCTTTCGATAGTACCCAGACAACTTTATCGATCCACCAATTTCGTTCATGTGAAAGCGTTTGTTGTTAGACAAAACTTTTTTCTAAGCTTTTAGTTGTTCTTCCGTGCGGTAAATTGATGTCACGATAACAAATTGTCTTACAGTGTCATGCATAGGATTTACGCGTATTTCAAAATATTTGCCAATATATTATCGATATTGGTACAGTTTTATAAATTTTCACACACATTTTGAACAATGTCGCGATTAGGACAGCGTCTATATGTTATCTCGCATGCATCCACATGTACTCGCATGTACTTCGTTAGATACGTAATATACGGGATAAATATTTGTAACGGACATTCATTGCAATGTAATGTTAGTAATAAGAAAAAGTTTTGCTTCAATTTTAAAATCTGTACATTTCTCGTGCACTATTTATTTTAATAAACTCACCTACTTGTTTCGCTTCGCAAAAATTAATTATTGCCGTTAGGCTGAGTAACAAAACATAAAACCCTGCAGTCAATTTCATGCGATATGCACTTGCAAAGAATTTCTTTCTTCTTTCGTTCTCGATGGACATGCTGTTGCACTTTGCATATCAGAACGAAATCCCATTCGAGTCACTACACTGGAATTTGGTTTCGATGGTAATTTCGTATCGAAAATCTGTACAACTTCTGTAGGTCGAAATATTGTTCATCTCCTCCTTTGGCATTTTGTTTCATAAGCATAGTAAGTTGCACGTATACAAATACCAAAAATCCAAAGACACTGGGAAATGAAGAAGAAAATCAATCGGAACGTTTGATGGATATCATCGATCAAAGAAACGGAAAGACTGTCGTACATACGCGCGTTTGGAAGATCAACGAACTGACCAAAGGGACGCGTGCACAGCTTGGAAGGAATGATTAGGGGCACGAATAAAGTCACCACTAACTTCATCGCTAACCCTCGTAAACGACACGTACTACCACCCGCGCAATTACGGGGTGAGACGTTATAAGGCAGCTACGCCAATGCCAAACTCGCGAAAGCGCAGGCGTGTAACGCATTACGTTATATTTGCATGTTCAAAACACGAAACGAAAGTCTTTTAAATCCTTTATTTTTAAATAATTTGCGCACACGCACGTACGCGCGCGCGCGCGCACACGCACGCACGCACGCACGCACGCACGCACGCACGCACGCCTTGTCACATTTCACGCTTTTAATTTCTTTTTAGTTCAAATATTGGAACAAGGAACAATTTTTTTATAAATACAGTAATATTGTATCGGTCAGATAAAGTTGTTTTTTTCCTTCTTTTTATGTTTTGAAAAACAAACTAGGAACGGAAAGATGACGAAAATAGTGTCAAATATTGTATAAAATTTATAGTGCGATTAAATATGAGAGCAGTCTTGTCGATTTTTGGAATTTTGTAGCAACGAAGCTACAAGCTCAATTTAACGGGTCAATTTCTTGATACTTTGTCAAAAACACTTTTATTATTATAAAGTAAACGAATGTAACAAATAAATAATAAAATCATTAGTTTTTAATTTTTTACCTTTTCTACCACTTCCATCATTACCTGCATTTTTAATACCTTTCTAGGCTAACTGTCAGATTAGCTTACCCTTTGCACTTGGTAATTTTTTCGTTACAGAAAAACAGCAATTCGATGGCTTTCTATTATAAAGTCGACGATATTTTTAAAACGGTAAATAAGAAATCGGATGCAAATTAACATGCAGAATTATTTTATTTCGATATTACACGCATCGTTATGTTATTTTAGATTTGATATATTAAGTAACATCGATCCTCAGAATTTGATTAAATGGCGACTTATGATCGCCTCTCGAGTGCAAAAGGTTCAAATCAAAGTTTATGTGACCATTGGCAATACTGCAATAAAGCTCTATAATGATCGTTTGTATGGATTATACGATAGTGTACATAATGCATACGTAATAATATTTACATAACACTTCTTTCAGCGATCATTTAATTCTATCTAGCTGTACGTTAACTATTTCAATTCCCCAAGATACATTTTACTCGATTACGTAATTTTTCTATTTAGAGAAAGTTTTCCACTTATTTATATGCGTATAATTGAATCTATACACATATGGCAAATGAAATAAAATAGAAACTTTAAAAAATTACTTCAATTACTTATTTGTAATGTTTTCATTTCAATTCAAAAATATTATCAACAGTTTACTATATGAAGGACGAATGTAATTTCTTCTTTCATGACCAAGGATTCATACATTGACTTTATACATTATATGTGTGTCATTAATATTTTTATTAATAGAATATTTACAAAATTCTCCTTTGAAGAAAATTACATTGCATGTAATTGGTATACTTTATCAATTTCCGTGATTATATTGATATGACAATTTTTTGTGCGTATTTATTATTGTTTCCTTTCGTGACGTTATGTTACTTATGTTATGTGCATACAATTCTTTTACACGTTTTCTGAATTCTCATGCCAGGTACAATTTAAGCGTTAAGTGACTAAATAGTGAGAGTGTAACATGGTTAGAAAGAAATAATTCTTTCAAATATGTACATTAAATTTTATATTGCGATTTAAATTAATGCGATACTTAAAATTGTGGTCGGTTTCCATGAAGGAAAGTATATATCGCGTTTCTAAGTACAATATTCGGAGTAAACGAAGTGTCTTGAAGAGCTTTATTTGTCATTGGACTAGTATATTTTCCACATAGAAACCATTCATTTATAGCTGCTTTCTCATATGTAAATCCATCTAAAACAGATATTCATTAGAACCACAAATTTCTTCAGAATAGATGTATGTTTGTATGTGTTGCTCACCGGAACATAAAACAGGCTCTTTCATTATTTCATGTGTGATAGGGCATAAATATTCGTGAGGTATTTCAGTATCGTCTATAAGAATTTCTGTAGAATTATCGTTTTCACGTTTTAACCAATACAATTGTGTTCTAAATATTTCCACCGTCTAAAACCGTATACACAGTTAGCACAAGCATAATAAAAAAAAACATAAATCAGGCAGACAATGGCATCGAGCATTCGTGATTCCCTAGCAACGTACATCTTCATCCTGTTCGATATGCAGTCTTTTCATTAATTCATCCTCCGGCACGGAAAGCAATTGTCGTCCCGTTAATGAAGCCTCACAAGCTGTCTTAATTAACATTCGTAAACCTATTTCGTCTAACCATTTTAAAGTATCATGAACTTTCCAATCTGCAACCTTGTATGTTAAAAATTTAACGCATTAATAACCGACACGATCTTTCATAATCATGCAAAATATTATAATTCACGTTTTAAAGATATACCATTTTTCTGTTATGCTTTAAATTATTTATTAGCGTGTATTGCGAAATCAGTTGCCGAGGTATTTTCCAGATTAAAAGAGTTTTGTCTAAAGCACCTGCAAATGATTTATAATGATAACTCATGTAGCGGAGTCTCAGTAAGAAAAAGAAAAAAAGAAAAGAAAAAAAGACAAAAGAAAATATAATTGATCGAACCTGTAATAAAAAGAGAAGTATCTTCCGAAAAAGCACAAGCAGTTACGAGACTTTCGTGTTCTTCTAGCACGTATAAGCACGATCCAGAATACTAAAATCATATTATCTCTTATTTTATACCCATTATGTAAATTAATTTTTTACATATATTCATTTCCTGCTCATTAGTACCATATAATGAAAAGTCTGTTTTCTTGGAAAGGAAAGGTAAAGAAGAGGAATGGACAATTTACTCACCACGCTCCATATACGAGCTGTTCTATCAGTGGCAACGCTTCCTAAGATTTCGCTTTGGATCTGAGAAAATCGAACACAAGTTACATTTCCACCATGTCCAGTGAATGATTTTTTTTCTTCGTATCGTATATTACCACCGCTGTTTCCAATACCTCCCGTTGCTAGCATATTTTCTTTACAAACTGTTATTAACCACAATTTAACCAAAGAATCATTACCGCCAGTTGCTAGCAGATAGGTATGTTTATCACTATTTATATTTTCCCTTCTTTCTGCAATTCGATGCAATAGCACAAGTTACATGTACAGAATACCGGTATCGCTTCATGCTTACCAATATTTGTAAAATTAGATGTTGAACTGAAGTCGCACCCTTGAACGCCTAAGTCATGTGCTTCGCTACAACTAATTAGCGCTGTAGAATTTGTGTTATCGATGGTGTCAAATAACCGCCATGTACCTTCGTTACACGCCGTAATTAAATAACAGGAATCATGTGTAAAAGCGATTGCATTTACCGCATCAGAATGACCTTTGAAAACACTGCCGTACATATTCGTAACAAGTTAGTAACATTCTACCGTTTATACAAGAGAAATAATATATTTTTTAAACATGTACCAGAGTTCTTCCATATCATTTACGTCCCATAATGTTGTCTTTTCATCATCTCCAGCTGTAGCAATTTTAGTACCATCCGGTGACCATCGGCAAACACGAATACCAGATGCTGAATTCACGAAAGAAGACCTTGCTTGACAGCCATCCTACGAAAAATCAGTAATGATGAATCAATAACAATTTAACAACGGTTTAATGCAATAAAATTAATTTGCAATTTACACGGTAATGAATAAGCCAGAAAAGTTCATTTGCTATCCTTCATTTGTTACTTTTTATAATGATTCTAATTCTTTAATTTTAACTTTCAGGTGCATAATCTGCATTATTTGCATTACCTCGGTATTCCAGATGATAACTGTACCATCTAAGGAACATGAAGCAAGCATACGACCACAAGGGCTGAATTCAACGTGATTTACACTGTACGCATGACCATCCAATGGACTGTAAGATTTTTCATGAAATTTCATGCTAATTTCGGACTCGGCTTCCTCTTCCACTTCAATGCTCCAAACTCGGATTAGCTTATCTCTATGGGTTTGTCATAATTAAAGGATGAAAGAAATTATGCAATATAACTTAACTGTAATATCCTATTCGCTGAACAGACGGAATGAACCATTTTCAACTAACCCAGATCCAGATGCTATAAGATGGTTCCCGTAGAAAGCTACACTGTTTACTACACCAGCGTGATCTTCTAGTTTTTGTATTAATTTAATGTCATTAATAGACGTTTCCGCATTTTTCATTACAGTTTTCTCATATTCAGCATTCTATAAATGGGAATAATAAATATTGTTTTATCAAACTTTAGCCCCATGGAACTATTTTTTTTAAACAGGTCGCAGTAAAATGGAAACTTACCTGTGCCTGATCGTGACCATCTAAAAATAAGGTAGGCGTAAATCGTCGCGCAAGTTCCGAGTCTAGACATAAGTTTCCTTTAAGATCCCAAATAATTACGGATTTGTCGTTGGAACCTATAATATTAATGTCGAAGAAACGTGAAACGTATCAGAAGTGTATAATATATGCACTTATTGTACAGTATACAATAGACAGCATATACCTGTTGCCAATAAATTTCCATCTCTTGAGAATGCACAGCACGCCACGTATCTGTTATGTCCTGACATTATTGTCATTACTTTTCCAGAGTTCTAAAAGTTATTGGTATAGCGCAAGGATACAATTAAAAATGTGTAATCACCAATGTTATTAACATGTACACAACATCTTTATGAAATATCTTTATGGGTACTCCAATTGAAAGCTTTAAGAGTATGTCGACGATGAAATGAAGAAATTACAATATATACTTTTTCACAAGCTTGCCTAAATTTTGTATTTTGTTGCATACATATAAGTGTATTTTTATTTTTGTTATTTTATACCGTTTCCCAGATTACTGCTGTTTTGTCGAAACTACTGCTACCAATGAATAATCCATTCGTATTGAAACAAACACAGGTTAAGGCATTACTGTGTTTTTCCATGATTCGGCAGAGGTTTATTTTGACAATAGATGATTGAGTTTCACATTTCGATTGTATTACAATTATTTCCCATAATTTAACGTAATGGTCGTTGCCGCAAGTAACCAGTTCATATAGTTTCGTGAACGGTTCGTTGCCTAATTATAAATTAGTTTATATATTACTAAATTTAATAGTAGTAAAGATGAAAATTTTGCAATAATTTCTTTTAAAATATGCATTCTGATTGGTGCATTTAATGTAATACACGTAATATACGTATACGTATAATACGCATATTCAGATCAGTCCTTAAGGTTGTTGATGTTGTAAAGATTTTGTACATACTTGTAATCTTCTGAGATGTTGAAAAGTCACAAGAAACAACGCCTAGATCATGAGCATCATCAATCCAGGCGAGGGCAGTAATCGCTTGGTTATCGGAAAAGCACGAGTCGATGATATCGGTGATGGAGAATAATTTTAAAACACCGAATGTACATGTAGTAATTAACCAACTAGAATCCGGTGAAAAACATACACTCTGTATAGCACCATCATGTTTTTGAAAACATCTAAATACACGGATAGACATTGTGTTTCATTAAATCATTGTGATAGATAAGCATCGTAAAAATGTTGAACAGCAAACGAATCGTGTAAAATTGGAAACAAAATTAAATATTACAATAAATACTTTAACATGCACCAGCTAATAAATCTATTTATCAATTAATTCATGTATCTCTATTATATTGTACAATATCATAATGCTGATTCTTGCCTAACTAAATTGCGTCGAACCAAATCCCAAAGGCAAACTTGTCCCTTGTCTCCAGCGGTTGCAAGTAACGTTGAATCTGGTGAGAACCTGCAAACTCTCACAGCTTCTCCGCCTACTTGAACCATAGTATGAATTCTTGTTCCTGTCTGCAAAAGAATTTTAATATCATCATATCTTGTAATACATCACAGTGTACGTATACTAATATTATAGTTAACTGTAATTCAGCTTAGCGTTAATAGATAGCAGGGGTCAATCCATGTATAATAGTCAAGTATGCAGTCTTGATAAAAAAAACAGCAGCTTACCCGTAAATTCCAAAGCAATGTAGTGCCGTCTATGCTAGCTGAAGCCAACATCGTTGATTGGGGACTTACTTTGACAGATGTAACTCCATATTTGTGTCCTTGCAACGGGGAAAAATATGCTTCTACGTATCCTATACCCGATCGCCATTGCCAAATTCTAACGCGTTTGTCTCTGGAAAGGATGTAGGGAAGTATACCGTACCAGCTTAGTTAGGTTGTACTGTAATTGTAATCGTTTATTTTGCAATAAATTCATTTACATACAAACCATTGCTGTTTCACAATTTTCTTACCCGGATCCAGTTACCAATATGCAATCACCAGCAAAATCAATACTTGTAATATCACTCGTGTAAGATGATAATGTTTGCAGAATATGTACATCTCCTATTTTGGCGGTCATGGTTACATATGGTTTTCTTATTAATTTCTTTCATATAACTATTGTATATTATCTGTGTATACTGATAAACGTGACACCGCAATAAACGAGATAAACACGAACAAGAATCAAATACAGTAATATCGTTTGTATTGCTTTTACCAACAAATTTTACTTATGCGGTATAAAATAGATATATCACGTCACTAAAGTATACACTTATTCACCTCCAGTATTAAAAGCACTTTTATACAGATTCCTGTGTTATATAAGTGGAGAAATTCTTGTAATACGCGGTAGGAATAAAACGTTAAATATCTTAGAGGAAACGCGAATAATTCTATGCTCAGGGAAACGTGAGAAATTTAAGTCCTTCACATATCGCTCGATATATAGACACGTGTACATGTATGTTTTGCAAACGTGGCTCTATTCGATAGGGTATGAGGTGCGATTAAACTAAGAGGGAAAAATCCTTCTTGTGTAGGAAATTACTACAAGTAATTACAGTTGTGTGTAAAGAATACACTAAAGTAAGTAACGATGAAATAATTTTAGAATACGTTAGAAAAGATTATGTAAGAAAGTACTTACGTCAATGAACAAAAATATAAATATTACGAACACCAATTGAATTTCGAATTAAGGGATACAACATAAGTTCTGGCGAATAAAAATATAAATCGTTTCACACTTGTTGCGGAATATTTAGTTTAACAAAGTACGACATACTGTTTTCCTCGGGTAAAAAATAAAACTGGATGCAGTAGGTGAACAAGTTGTGCGTACGGAATACTCCATGTTGTGACGACAACGTGCCAGCGTACGTCTATTGTAGTTATAAAATCGATATCTACGAAAAAATTTTGCTAGTACGCGAGCGAGTATGTTGCGCATCAGGCCGAAGGAACGAAGCGATTGCGAAGCTTCTAATTATGTTTTCTTTTTTCAGATTTTAATTAATTTTTCTTTTATTTATTTCTTTCTATTTATTTTTATTTGACATTTCGAATATTTCGTATAATATTCGAACGTTTCATCGTTGAGTTGTTTATTTCTCATCGTTGGGTTGTTTGTCTCACCGTTGGACTGTTTGATCCATTTCATTGATCATTATGATTTATATTTGTTTCGCTTTTATTATGTTTTACTAATCGGTTGCTAACCTGTTTCTTTTTAGCTTTCAAATTTTTCAAGACATGGTTGGATGGCGCGGGATGCGTGCGTTTAGACTTAAGTATTTATACGCAGTTATAAGATAGATTTATAGATTAACAATTAATTCATGAACTTTTGTAGTTGCATCACAAAGCTGAAACTTTGAGCAACATTTTCATGCAATTTTCGAACATAATTTGAAGCGAATTAATTAGTTAATAATAATTATTTGAAGGCGTGCGTGATTTGATAACAACGACGAGCATGATTGTTGGTGAAAATATTTAATTATGAACGAAACGAGAAGCAAAATGTGATGTAAAATGATATGAGAAAATGCACAAGAACATTGATTTTCTAATGCGTGCATGTAATTCATATTTATACAGAATAAATGCACAAAAATTAGTTATTAATGATAAACTATTACGATCCTCGGCAACATTTCGAACACTCGATGAAATAACTATTAATAATGAATTAATTGAGAAGAAATTATTATTGAAAACGATATAAGAAAGTTGTTGAAGGCTATGCCATCACGATGCAATTATAAAAGTTGAAACATTCATCACAGAAATCGAATAATTTGATAATTTTCCACTGCCGAATTGATTTATTAGGAAGTATCAGGAGCACATAACCAGAATTAGTAGCCTAATCGATCTGACAGTCACTGACACTTTCGGCAATATTTTTCGTAAACGCACGCTCGAAACCGAAAAAAAATATCTAATCCCGTTAAGGAAGAGTTCACTCTACGCTGATATAAAGGAAAAACCGGAGCCAAAAGCCTAATTTCGAAAATAAAAACCAAAAAAGGTAAACTACGCAGCACGATCTGACAGCCACTAACACTTTCGGCACTATTTTTCGAAAACGCACGCTCGAAACTGAAAAAAAATAAACAATCCCGTTATAGAAAAAATCACTCTACACAGATATATGGAACAAACCTAATCAAAACGCCTAATTTCGGAAGAAGAAGCCAAAAAAGTAAATTGCGCAGCACGACTTCACACACTGACACTTTCGGCACTATTTTTCGAAAACGCCCGCCCGAAACCGAAAAAAAATAATCAATCCCGATAAAGAAATTCACCTTACGCGGATATATGGAACAAACCTAATCAAAAAGCCAAATTTCTGAAATAGAAGAAAAAAAATTCTATTAGGCAGCACAATTTCGTAGTCACAGACACCTTCGTCACTAAATTTCGGACACGAATGCTGGAAATCATAGAAAAATCAACGCTGCAATGCAGAGAGAAACTAATCTAAAAGCCTAATGTCGGAAATATAAGCGAAAGACTTACTTAAACTGTGTAGCACGATCTCACAGGCACTTATACTTCTATCACATTATTTCACATGTACACCTTCACTTTTCTCCACATGTGGTTTGTTATTGCCGAACAAATGTTCACAGTTATTTATCCTGTTCTTGGTAAAGTTCTCGTAATTTGTTAAACTTGTGTTGTGGTCCTTTCGTATATATCACAACGATGTTGTGAAGGTTGCTTAATGTTCCGAAATAATAACTAATACTACGTGTTAATGTTCTTAAATAATCCTTTAATCAATTGCAGTAATTGGAAGACTGATCAAGGATAACACTATTTCACGAAACGTTTTATTCAGGGACTGAAAGTTTCACTGGAACGCGTGTAAATATTGCATCATGTGCTACCGGCACGTTGGATCGCGTCGACTAGAAGTGTTCTGCGATTGGGTAAAGCTGTGCCTCATTTTCGCGGAAAGATGCTTCGCCTTTGAAATAGCCATGTGCTAAAGTATCGATGTAAAATATCAAATATTGTTCCTTATATTTATTAATATCAATGAAGCAAATATAAATATATTTCTGTTGCGAAAAATTCCAAATTTCTATAATTAATTCATGAACTTAAATTATTAATTATTCCATTATACTAATAGAAAGATAAACGATTAGTATCTTCGGCAATAGTTGAAACACTCTATGCAATAATCACCAATAATGATTTAAATTACAACGAATTCATATCAAGAATTATATTAGAAAGTTCGCTAAGGCTGTGCCTTTACGATGAAATTTTAAAAGTTGATGAATTAATTATAGACGAACACGAAGTCACAGTTGAAGTTGAGTGATTTTATTCTTGGTAAAAAGAAAATGAAAGTGCAATGATATATGCTTAGGTACTTTTTATTCACTTTGAAAGTTTCACATGTACACGTTAATTGTTATCGACATAATAAACAATGACATATAGACATTAGAATCTGAGTAAATGTCCGTATCACGGACCGTTGCGAGAAAAAGATGTTTCGTAATACTGTCCTCAATTGGCGACGGTTAATGACGAACCAAATTTCTTGAGGAACGTTGTGTTTATAGTGGACTGTATTTTATGTAGTAGTTTCGGATAACTCTTCTGAACTCTTCGAATGTTATTGACTGACTCCTCTGACTGACTGACTGATACTGACTCGGTGGTTATATAATCCTGGTCTCTCTGCTGATTGTTTGTTATGATGTTGGGGGTGCATGTTAACTTCAGCGTCCTTCGGTGGTGGTGATGGTTGTTCAAACAATCTAGATAATTGTGCTTGTTTTCTTGAAGGGTTATATATAGTTGTTTGTTGCGGATTACCTAAGTGGTGGCTTAGGTGCTAAAGAAATCAAAGGGCGCTGACAGTAAGGATATAAACAACCTCACTACTTGGGACATTGCGGTCCTAGGGTCTCATCAATGGTACTTGAGAAATTTCAGAGCCTTCACACAGTCTATTCCAAATAAAGGGCCGAACGAAATACCGGGACGACATTCCAAGGCTTAACAATATTTATAGACATATACACACTACTGCAAATGATTCTATTTAAATACATGAGTTATCCTAATAATTCTAGATATTAATTTATCTTGCATCTATCTCTCTTATCGTGCATCTCCTCGGCTTTCTCTTGTGACGACAACCGACCTGAATCATCGATATGACTAGACCTCCAAAATCCAAGACGCAATCCTGTGACATTAGCCTACACGAATCACCAGACGACCGAAACCCCTTCCAAACCATCCACGACAAGATAATAAGAATATATATATATACCCCAACCCAAAACCGAAATAAAGTCAGTCTAACTCTAAACCTATACACGTTGTCTTTTCTATACGTTATACCTACTCGTATAAAAGCCTTCGTGAATATTTTCACTCGCGTGTCTAAGTTAGTCCCGTGACATTCTCGTGCTAAACCTCATAAGGAGTTCCTTATTCCCTATTCATTTTCCTTCATATATCTTTATCATCTTCAACATCATCTATTTTATAACTTTCTACATTCTTCGGTTCCCTTTTTGCATCTCTCAATTTATTTTTTATCCTTTCCTTCACTGCTCTGAAAATATAAATATAAGAGACAGT